AAAATTGAATTGAAATTGAATTGTGGAAAATGGCAGGAAAGCTAACATAAGGGTCTAAAATGTTTTAATCATTCATGCTGTGTCGAGGTGGAGAAAAACACCTTTTTAGTGAGAGGCTGTAATTCAGTCTGTAAGACTAGAGGGTGGAAGGGCTTCAGTAAGTGAATGGTGTTGCTGGTGGAGTCGGTGATGATGATCAAACAGAGCAGGCTGATCTGACCCCTGCAGGAGCTTTGTGGGAGGTCTTCTGCACTAGGCTGAGGGCACGAGGTCAATGGCAGTGTGTAAGGTCAGGTCGACTACAATCCTGATTACAGTCAAATCTGTGCAGAAGATATTCATTAGTGCTATAGTAGATTGTGGGTATAGATAGGAGGTTAGCTTTTTTTTTTTTTTTTTCCATTACCTTTTTTAATGTTCTTAATTAAGAATATAGAACAGTGGGGGCACCCGGTTTTTTATTTTTATTTTTAAAAATAATATAGATCAGTGTATTAGTGTATTACTGCAGCATGAGTTGAGAAGTCATAATAAAATGCAATAGAGGACAGCCTATAAAGTTCAATATGTCATACACTGATAATAACAGGAGGCAACAGGTTTAAGCTCACTGTTGAGTAGCTGCAGTACAACAGAAGGTATAAACAATAAAGTTGGATCAAGTCAGGAGGTATAAAAAAATACTGAGACAAATGTCCCAAATTACTGTAGGAATACTTTAAATTCTGCCTGTGATTACTTGATAAAATGATCTTTCGTAACAAATGTAGTCCAACAAAATAATTATTTTGGTATGAGGAGAAGGAAGTTTTTAAATAATAAACTTTATTAATGAATTCATTTATTGCTAACATACACTATTAGAAACCCAATAGCATAAATGAGCCAATTTGAGCATAATGGAGACTCAGACCAGCTGTCTGCTGAGGTAAACAGGTTTAACACAACATACTGTTCATAATAGCAGTAGTTTAAATAGCTGGTGCACAGCGGTCTCATTGTTTTTAATGAGCCCCACCTCGAGTCCATTACTGCCAGCTTTTACCAATACCACTTTGTGTCAACAATTGTGCTGCCAATAACATTTAAAGCTACTGCTGTCAAACTAGAAGTACCTAAAGTAGTACAGACGTGGCAAATAAAGATTTGCATTGGTTTTTACAGCATTAGAAGAAGATAAAACATTACTAATGTTAGTGCTCTGTGGCGTGTGATGATAGTGGTTTTAAAAATGTAATCACCAAATTATAATGGTATAACAGCCCTACTGTAATGAATCTGATTAACTTGACCCAAATCCCAAGGAGTGCAGCAGACACACACATGCAAAACTGTTATTATATAGTAATTTATTAATTTTGGCGAATGTCTTTTGAAGGGCAATTTACAGCTTTTACCAGAGCCATAGAACAATACTTTATAATTACAACATTTACAGGTGCAGTTCAGTTTCTCTTTTTACATCAAACGATGGAGATGAGCTGTGAAGGGAACACAGAATGAATGCATTTAACACAGGTACTGGAGACAAAGCAAAATACTTTTCATTGGTCAATATTTAACTTGCTCATTGACTTGGCCTATAGGAATGCATTTGTCTTAATCGGTCACTGAGCGGCATGACACATAATGACAGCTCATCATTGCTTTACAGCAGAAGGACTGACAGGGTTGCCGAATACAGTCAAGCAAAAGCATCAAAAAACGGACACATATTGTCGTCATTCACCTAAATATCAACACCGCCACGCTCACGGAATAATCCGATAGATATACTGTGTGTAACTGTCCTTAAACTGAAAAAAGCAGACTTTGAACACAGACAAGTGTAAACACCATGTGTGTGAAAATGAGCGCAGTGAGACTCAGACTGGTCTCGGCTTTGTATTCAAACTTTTCACTCAGACTCATTTGTATTCCACAACACTCATCCTATAATAGAAAAGATAAAATATGCAAATTTAGGAACGCAGAGTGCTTCGAGATAGCAATTTGAAGGTTAAGATTGATTCAGCAATATCCACTATGTTTCTATATCCAGACAAAAAAGGGAAAGAAACTTTTTTTTTAACAGGAAATTAATTAATAAAAGGTTACTGAAAAAGCTACAAGTAAGGAAAAGCCTCAACTCCACTGTCTCAAAGCACTCGTTCAACAGAATGGAGTTGGGAACAAAAGGAGAGTCGCAGAGCAGCGATTTCAATAGTACCAGGGGCAACCAGTTATTACAAATGTTCAGCAACAGTAAAAAGCTTAACTCTTAAATGTTGCTGAGGGTGGCTCGTCTCTAATCTCTCATATTCTTTTGTCAAATAATCTCCCTAACCAGCTTCAGAGCTCTATTTATCTTCACCTTAAAGGCCACTGTAAAGGACAGCTGATTTCCTGTATCAGTGTTCTTACAAACCATTCAGGATATTTAAAGTCTTGTTTTGGGGATTGTTTAATCTCTCCGTTCTTACCTTGTTACCAAAAAGAAATTCCTGCAATTCAAAAGAAACCTCAAGTGAAGATGTAAAATGAATTTGTTTGGATATGAAGCATGTTCATGAATAATTTATAGAGCCACTTCCAAATAATAAATAAACAAATGAATAAATAAGCAGGCAAGCAAACATCAACAAACACATTTTTCCCAGTATTTTTTTTGTCATATAAATGTCTCTGGTAACCCAGTGTCCAACTCTGTGATATTCTTGAAAAATAGTCTGATACAAGTAATTTACCGCACTGTTGTTTTCCAAAAGGATGTGGGTGAGGAACAGTGTGAGGACTCTGCAGTAGAACTGACACGTGTAGCTGGCAGCTGCAGACAACTTTGCAGATGCTACAGTCAAACTGGTCACCAAAGTTTGTGAATGAAAGTCTGGCAAAATATAGAGATTTGAATCTTTCTAATAGTCCGTTCTCATAGACAAGAGACATCCTCAGCTGTCAATGAACACATGGCATATGTGCTCCCTCCTGGTCTCTACCAGATGGAAAGTTGTCTTCCTGTGCCATAAACTCTCCATCTGATTCTTTCTCAGTATCTCTCTGTCAGAAACCCTCCAGTGTTGAAAAAATACATTTTTTAAACTCTCAAAACTAGCCTTTACTCTACATTTTGCCTCCCAAAGCTTTTTTTTTTAGTTCTCTGATGTGCTTTAGCATCCATTGGGAATTTTAACACACCTCATGGGAAAAGCTTTCTTTCAGCTAGATGGGTTCTTTCCACATTGGAAGAAGAAACCAAAATGGTGGGACGGTAGGGGTGGTGTAAAATGGTCTTTGTCCTGACACAGTGTTTCCTGCTATGTGTCCTGAACACACAGTCTCCAAAGACAGGACCTGAAAAAATGACCAGCGGTACAGGCATTTGGGCTAAAGCACGGTGGCGTTGTGGCCCTCCAACCTGGGAAGCCTGGGGTCCTGTACCGTCCCCATGGTGACTAGCAGTGGACGGCTGTCCTCGGACATAGCTGACCGACTCAGGGACACTGACGTGGGAATGGAGGCCCCCCTTGAATGGGCTGTTGAGGAGGGCATGGAGGTGCCCTGCTGGGGTGGAGGAGGGGGGTTGGGGTTACCGTGGGTGGCCTCCAGCGGCATGCCTTGCTCCTGGTAGCCGTAACCGATGTTCCCACAGGGGAATCGTCTCAGTCTGTAGAGGGGTACTGGGGGCAATGCGGCTGAATCTAAAAGCAGAGGTGACTGGGCAGCAGGAGGTGGTGGTGGGGGTAACAGAGGTCTGCAAAGACCCTGCTGCTGCTGCTGCTGGTGGTGCAGCAGCTGGAGTTGGTGCTGCTGCTGGAGCTGATGCTGGAACTGCTTGTGCTGGTGCTGGAGGCCCAGCGCCCCTGCCATCTCAGCCACAGTCCGGCCCATGTGCTCCTGCCCCTCGCCAGGCACCCTTCCACTGCTCCCTCCTGCTCCCCCCACCCCTGCCTGCCTCTGCTGCTGCTGCTGCTGCTTCCTCTGCTGCAGGAACCACGAGCCGTATGTCGGGTTCCAGAGACTGGTGTTCTTCCCGTTGTGGCCCTCCTTCTCTGGTGGGTGTCCCTGGGTGAACGCCAGGTTGATGTGGCCCCCCTCAGCGCTGGGCTGGGTAGTGACATGAGGTCCCTTGGCAGTGAGTGTAGCGGTGGATGTGGAGGTCACTGTGTTAGTGGTTGTCATGGTGATGGAGGTCTGCGTTGGAGGCTGTTGGTGCTGTTGCAGGTATGGCTGGGGCTGGGCTGACATCTGTGCTTTGGCCTCCAACGCTGTGCTAGTCACCACACTCTGCTCCCCACCTCTCCGGTTCTCCTCTGAAGGATAGGATGGGGGCGGCTGTGGAGCCTCCCCATCAGGCACCTGGGCATTCACCAGCACGGTCGGAGCTGAGGGGTCATCAGGGCGCATGGGTACACGCTCCTCCTCTTCAGGAACAGGTCCGTACTCTATAGGCAGGGGCATGGTCACCACATCAGGGTCCTAAAAAGGGGTAGACCACCAAGAGATCAGAATTGTATTTTTCAGTGTCAGCAGTACTATCAGTCATATTAACTCTGTAGTTGTGGAGTGAGGGATCAACAGCTGGTCATTGGAATGGTCCAGTTGGACTTTAAAACACAGCATGTGATTGAAGTTTAAGAACTTAAAAGCTCTGAAACAGGGGCCATGAAACATCTGGTGCAGTCAGTCAGTGAAGCTAACGCTAGTCCAAGTAGCTACATTGTATAGCTGTCAACAGGGATTGTCAGTTAAAAATTGTACATTATTACTATTGTAACAGTAAGTCTGTATTGGTAAACAGAATCCCACTTTGGAAGTGATGATTATATTGGAAAATGATTGTGCAACTTAAAATATAGCACTTATCTAGTATCTTACACAATGTGAGGACAATATTTTTTGTTCTATAGAAAACTAAATTGAATCAATAAATTGGACTTTCTGAGGATAACAACAAGCAACTGCAACATAATACACATACAACATAAGTTCTGATTGTGCTCAATATAAATTATATTGTGTTACTCTTTATAGACAGCCAATACAGGCTCAGAGTTGAATTCATAGTAAATCATTTAAACACTCATTTTAACAATTTAAATCAAGCGATATTACAAGAGTTTGCTTTTTTTCCCTCAAATCTCTCAACCGTCATGGGCAGTCAGAATTCCACAGTGTGCTCTGTTTACTCACCTGTAAGCAGTAGTCAATTCTCTCCAGGATAGTTGAGAAGTTGGGTCTGTCTTCAGGCTGATGCTGCCAACTCTGAGTCATTATACGGTACCTAAAAGATACACATGAATGGTGAGACGCACACAAGCACGAAGTGCTTAATGAAAACATTTTCTGCCACTGCATGCAGATGTAGAGAAAACAAAAACAAAAACAGAGGGTGACCAGCACCTTCTCTCCTGGTGGTTTAACAAATGCCAGATTGATCTCTTCTGACAAAAAAGTCTTAATAGCTGTTTTGATCGCTCCAGGCAGAATTAAAGTGTAATCTCCCACCAGTTTAATGACTGTGATAAATGGGTGATGCAGACTGCAGGAAAAACTAACAATGAAGTTAAATCCTGAGATATGGTTTTAATTGCTGAGCTGATTCCAACTGTAGCTGTTGCCTTCAACAGTCAGTGTTTCACAATATAAAATTAAAAGAGCACCGCAGGGCCATATTTAAAAAGAACATGTAAGGCAGGTTGCAAAATGATACGAGGAGTAATATGCAAAGCTGCGGCCAACAGGTGTGAGGGATAAAGCTGTGAAATCACAGAGAGGCCAAAGTGTGGCTCCAATGTGTATATGAGAGGGAGGGAGAGAATGTGTGTGTGCATCTTCATATATATGTTTTATAATAGAGTTGGCATCAGAGGCGGTATCTGGAAAGTGAGTAAAAAATATGATATGATATGGAAATGGTTTTTAAGCTCTCTATCAGCTCCCCATGACTTCTTCCAAATTGGCAGGCAAACATGAAAGAGAACCATTGATGTGGTTTCCATATTGGAAGCACTGAGAGCAATCTCCTATAAAATGTTCTGACCCCTTCTAGGTCACAACTCCCTTAAACGTGTCAATATCAGCACATCATCAGAGACTCACATGTCCGCCGCTGTGTTTGTTTTTGTGTATGTATAGAATGTATGCACCACTTCGTTTGTTGTTTATGTTCTGGAGAAGCTTAATTAGACCTCATGGGATCACATTGTTCTTGTGTGGGGATCACTTACACTGGTCCAGGGCAGTTTTTAGGTGGGTCCATTCTTCCACCATTGGTTACAAACTCCAACACTTCCTGGTTACTGCGACTTGGATATGGCATGTAGCCCAAGGAGAAGATCTCCCACAGCAGAACCCCAAATGACCTTAGAAAGGCAGATTAGTTACAAAGAGAAAAAGAAAGAGGGTGAGACTAAGGACAATCAAGTCATAAATTATTAGCATCATCAGTGCTGCAGCTATAAAGGATGAGAGCAGAGGACAAAGAATGAGATAAAGACAAGGCAAGAAAGGGAAAAAACAACATATTATTCTGGATCAAAGGCGCTGAAGGACAGAGGAAGGTGAAGAACAGAAAGGGAGAAAGCGGGCAGGTTGGGACGGCAGACGTCCCAGTGTGAAATATAGGAGGGGAAACCACAGTGAGGGTGAAAGGGAAAGAGGTCTGAGGGATTCTCACCATGTGTCTGTTTTAGATGTGAAGATGCCCTCCATGAAGGCTTCAGGTGGCATCCACTTCACTGGCAGCATGGCACGCCCACCCTTCCTGTAATAGCTCGCCCTGCGCACGCACACACACAGACACACAGACACACACACACACACACATTTTAAATAGTCAAATGCTTGATGACTAATTGTGGCTAATAATAGTAATATTAGTATTTATTTGCCTGCTAATGATACAAATGGGAACAGTTGTAGAATGGAAACCAGTATTTGTAGTTAACAGCACCATCACCATGGCAACACCACTACCTTCAATAGCAGAGCATTAAAAAAAAGAAAAATCCAGCAATTAATTCACTGTTAGTCAGCGGCTGTATCAGCCTTTTGATCCAATCGCATTTTCAGCTTCCTAACATGTTGGTGTGAGAGACCCTCTAAGAACTCCTTATCTTGCCGAGGGAGGAAAGAGGGCGTTTTTTTGCCAGGCCCCGTCTGAGCCAATTTTAATGCTGTCTTACGCTCGCTGTCGGTAGAGAAATTATCTGATGTGTGCTCTATCTGATTGTTGGTGCTGATAGAGGTCACTGCCTAGTTCATCTCGCCCTGCTCGAGGCACGCAGCGAGCGACTGACATGAACTGGGTTCTGCTCAGCTCCCACGTCCATCATGGTTTCCGCACAGAAAAACACGTTGTGATCCGAGTTAAGTGGTGTCAGCTGTGTTTGGCTGGGGAAAAGCATCATTTGGCATCATTTGCCGTTGCAGAGGAATAAATCTGTTTGCCTCCAGTGATTTTGTTAGAAAAATGACACTTTTTCTCCCTAAGCAGTTGTTTATGAACATGGCAAGTGCTTCATGATAAATAGGACTGCAATAGCCTGTAGACACTGTTTTGTCACTGGAAGGTTGCCAGTTCAAACCCCCGGGCCTTTAGGGAAAATAAAGGAGTAGTGGTAACACTTTCTCGTTGCCTTCAAAATCTAGACAAGTAAGTGACTCACTAACTGCTCTGCTGGAGAAGCACATAGCTGTACAGGAAAGGGCTGTAATTACAGTGGGCAGCTCCCAGGTGTGAATGTGAAACAGGATGAGAAAAGAGCATTGTGCTCAGTTGGCGTTCCCTGGACAAATAAAAGCTACAAAACCCCCAAACAATAGAGAAAGGAAAGGAATGGCAAACACATCAAAAACAGGGTGGCAAAGAATAAAACAGACAATTTCAGACTGGATAAAATCTGGGACAACAAGCAAAAGTAAATAAATAAAGGTTTTGGCAGTCTGAGCTCCTCAGATATGGCATCCAATGCCTTATGGGCTTGGGCTGCATGACCCATCACATTTTGTCTTTAGCTTGAGGAGGATTTCAAGCTGATTTCAAACTGTGCTCTTGCTTACCAGGGGCAAAATTGTTAGAACTACTGTTAAAAGCCAGAGCTATGCTTGCCTTAAAAGTGATGTGTAAAATGAATTCCAAAATATTATGCAACTAGTGCCAGGAAGCTTAAACAGATGTAATAAGCTATACACAATCTGAAGCCTCACCTCACCTAAACTTAAGTCATCTTTTTGCGTGATATTTACTATAATACACATTCAGGTTTGAAGAAAAGGAGATAATTGCATTCTCCACACAGTATCGAGTCAAGAGCCAGCACTCATCATGTGGTTGAACTCAGATCTACAGCTGTGTGTCTTCAGGGGAGCGGTAAGCAGAGATGAATAAAGATGATATGCTGTCTGATGGCTACAAGGGAAATATACACTTAGCAAACTATTGGCATAAAAAGTTAGCCTTGAAGAAAATTACACATAATCAATAAAGCACAGAAAATGAATCACTAGTTGAGACTGTTTGCTTGACAGATTAGCCATGAACCCCTGCAGGGCAGTCACACAGATCCCCGCCCCACACCTTAATCTATCACTTAGAATAACACAATCAATTCAGTGATGGAAATCAGTTACCTCCCCCATTTTTAAGCCTACAATTAGAGGACTGAGTCCTGCCACCATCTCTTTTACATTGCCCCCTTTACCCAGTATCTCTCTAATTTTCCTGTCTATCCCAATAAAGAAAATAGTGAGGGAAGCAAACTGGCATCAAAAGATGCAATTAGATCAAACAGCTGTGGCAGTGGGTGCTCAGTGAATCCTGCGTTTGTTGCTCTGAAAAGGCTGATATCAGTGATAAGGAATTTACAAAAACCAGGCTGCCACAATCTCCTGTGTGTCTGTAATATATTGACTGCTGGCGCCGTTTCTGACCTCTGCTAGTGAAATACGTCTTTATAAAAGATGACCTGAACACATGAAACGTTTGTCCATTGCTATTCAGTCTGTTATCTGCTCATTAGAAAATACTGAAATGTTTTGGGATGGTAAAATGTAGAGCATAAGACTGATAATCCCCCTATCGGTGGATCGCCCTTTTTTTCAGCATGGGGTTTATGGACATATTTATTACTACAGCTAACACCACCAACACAGACTGAAAGCCGAGCTGCAGATTAGGGAGGCTTAAATACAGTCCCAGAAAATCTATAGCACAAATGGAGGTGTTTTATACGTGTGTGTTTTTTTCTTGTGATAGCGATTCAGTGTGCAGAATGGAAGCTGGAAGATTGAGAAGTATTAGAGGCAACAACTAACTCTGAGAGACAGAGGCATCAAGCGGACTGCTATGAATGGAGAGTAAGATAGAAGAACACAATGTGGAACCTAATACTTGTGCCTGTTCATTGAGTTGAATGTCTTTGTTCTGCCTTTACTGGTGTGTGTGTGTGTGTATGTGTGTGTGTGCATCAGGCTGACTACCTCAAGTCATGCTACACACCACTGATAATAGTTCCTATGAGAATATGGTCATTAAAGGCAAAATAACAATTCTTTTCTGAAGCACAGAAGCACAGTGAGTTTCTCTTCATAGTGGCGGCTGTTTAGCTCAGGATGATTACTGACTGGCAGCTATTGTTTACCCAGCTTTCTATTTACCACTGCATCACCAATGTGCAAGCATGCATGTGAGTAATATGTGTGTGAGAGAGGAAGTCCAAGAAATAGCACATGCAAGTACGCCTGTAGCTCTCCTCCCAGAATATAAAAAGCTGACATTAAGCCTCGTCCTGGTCCCTCACTGTGACACCCTTCCCTTGACATGGCCTCAAAATGACTCCCATGTCCCCCATCACAAAGCAGGAGGGCCACATCATCGGCGTAGCAGCATTGTGCGCTAAAAAACAACCATCCCTCCCTCTTAAAATAATAACAATGATAATCCCAGTCCTGGCACCACGGCTCCAGGCTGAGAGATAAAAACAAAATCACATTGTGGCACCTGAAAAACTGACATCAGCAATTAAATCAAGCGCTCCTAATGCGGCTCCCCATGGGTATTGTGCAACAGCCTTTCCCGGATGCTCTGAGAGTGACTTTGCTCTCGTGTGACTTTCTTTAGGATGATTTGAAAGTACCGTGTTGATATAGCTGAATGTTGTGACATATGTCCCCTGCTCTAATTTCTTACCAGATGAAAGGCTTGGGAGATTTCCCTGCTGGATTGTGCCTTCATTTAAATAGTGTCACGTGAAATGGTGGTAGCTATATAAAAAAGTTTGAGCTAAGAATAATAAGATGCCGTTGGGGCTACAGAAGAGCTGATGCAGATTTAAAAGAAAGCATACATACAACAGTGTGATTGAGAATAAAAGCACAAAGTATTAAGTTTTAAAGTACATTTTCAAATAATAAAAAATGTTTTAAAACTGTATATGTCCATACACTTAACTGCAAACAGAATGCTCGTTTTTATTAGGCTAGACTTCTGTCTAGGAAAAAGATCTAACGTTGTCTAGCTTTCTCTGGACTGTGTTCACTTGCTGCTGTTGAAACTGTTTGAGTTTGTTTATTGCATTTTGATTTGTCACATCCTGTGTTTGAAGAATTATTCATACCGAGAAATTCTCCTGGGCAAACAGGATGAAAAGACAACAAGAGCAATGGTTATTTATTCAAATGGATTAAGATGGTCTATGTTGATGTTCATTCATTGCTGAAGCAGAAGGTGTAACATCCCTGTAGTAGCAAAAAGTTGGAGAGGAAGTAAGAGGGGAGGGGAGGGGGCCTACAAAGCATTTGACTGTGATTGGAGGCTGTGTTTTGTAACAGTAATACAATTCAGCTGAACCTGGTCTTGATTTTGAGCTGGTATTACATCAGTCAGTGATCTGTGCTGGAATCGTACCTGTAAATGTCTCGAGCCATCCCAAAATCTCCAATCTTGGCCACACGGCCCGGTCCTTTGCAGGTCAGTAGGCAATTCCGAGCAGCAATGTCCCTGAAAGATGAGAACAACACATACAGTCGGTCAGGTCACTGCATGTACTTACTGCTTGGATCCATGGACTGGAACACAATAAGTCATTGCCACTGTATATAAGAGCTAGACATACTGAACACTGACATTCACACAGCTTAGCTTATGCCTCCTCTCTTCACTATTATACCTACAGTTTGTCATATATTTGCATCTTTAAGAGAGCTCCATGTATGAAACACCTACAGATGCTCCCCTGTTGCATCTGAAGTTCAGTGTAGCTAACAAGTTGCCCTGGGCAAGCTGGTGTATAGCAAGTGTATAGTTTCCTACAGTGCCTTTATAGCTCTGCCCACATGGTGCATCCAGAGTAGAGATTAAATTGTATATAGTATATGCAGGCAGAGTGGGTTAGAAGAGAAAACTCATATCTGCACTGTACAGGGTGGGTTATTCTTTGAGAAAATACAGTAGTTCACACAGCGTGCTCTACTCTTGTCTGGGGGAAAGGAAATAGAGCCCTGCACACTGTTTTCTATTCCCCAGGCGTGTGACTTTCTTAATATCTTAAGAAGTGACGCTCCTCATCAGACTAAAGACAAGTGTACACTAGGGCCAATAAATACCCAGAATTTAACATCAAAATAACATCATGCGACACTGTGCTCAAACTAGATCATGAGACAGGGCAGGGCTGGAGATGAAAACTAGCAGTGGAACAGACCACAGCACTAAGCACTGCAAGTTTGTAGACAGCAACACATTGTTTTGATGTTTTGCCTCCGCACTCTGATTAACTTGGATGTGAAATGACACAATGAGGATAAAGTAATAGTTCAGACTGATTTAAACTGAAGGCTTTTAAGACAGGGACTATACTATGCATAGTTGCCCCACTTTAATGTGCCAGAAGTGTTTGGAACTATTAAAGTTATAGAATTATAGTACTACTTCAACTTTGATATTAAATAATTTAGTATGAAATAAGAACAACATAGTGTCTAGGGCCTCTTCAGTTTATCTCTAAAAAGATCTTT